AAACAGGGCACCCTCCAAAAAAAAAAAAAAAAAAAAAAAAAAAAAAAAAAAAAAAAAAAAAAAAAAAAAAAAAAACCAGCAATAACAACAAAAACAATTACAATTTAAATATTAGCACTGTACTTTTTAAGTGTGCTATAAAGTAATTGTATTTTATTTAATACTTATTTTATTAGTTTAAAATATAACAGTATCATCACGGTTTATTTTTGCTTAAGTGCAATAGTACTATTATTACTAGTGTTAATTGTTTTTTTTTAATGGGTCACACTATGTGCAGTGTGAGCACCAAAGCAAATCTCCAGGTGCTCTCATGGGAACCAGACCGAAAAACATCTGTGCACCCTGTGTATGTTATTATTTAAATGCTGCATGTGCATGTATCCCGGTAATATGCTGAGATAGCTGTAAGTCAATTCTTGGGTTGACTTCCCACTTTCACTTTCAAAACTTGATTCAGTGGTTAGTTTGTAGTCAAACATGTCTCTACATGGCATTTCTAATATAGTTATTGTTTTAAATATGCTATTAATAATAATACAGTAGTCAACATTTGAAGTGGATTAAAACCATTCATCAAAAGTTGTCCTAAAACCAAAACAATACCTGTTCTTGTCTTTTTTGATCCACTGCAAACGTTCACTACTGTAATATAATTATCAAATAATAATTAGCATTGTTTTGTATTTTATTTGTTGTACATTTTAACTATTTTAATTGTATTAAAATATTAAAGGGGAAGGTACATTTTGTTGTTTATTACTATGTGATGTATGATTTTTGATTGTTTAGTAAAAAAAACAATGGAAAATATTATTTTTTAATATGCATTTAACTTTACTGTTATGTGTTGTAGACGGGGAAGGAGCCCATCAAAGACATGTTCACTGACCTGAGAGACGGCAGAAAGCTCCTCGATCTCCTGGAGGGGCTGACTGGAAACACACTGGTGTGTGTCTGTGTGTCTGTGTGTCTGTGTGTCTGTGTGTGCGCGTGCGTTTGATGGTTGGGAGGGTTTGAGTAGCGATCGAGTGTAATGTGTCTGAATGGTGTGTTATATTTTGCCTCGATCAAACACTGATTTGGAGATACACACACACAGAGCGATTGAGTGACAGAGGCTGTGGGCTTCATCTTCATCGCTCTTCATCAGTCCTGATTAAACTCATTACAGTGTTTCATCTTCACAGTATGGGCTCATGTGAGATGTAGCTCTTATGTAAAGTAGCACGCCATTATTTTGATGGAGTGAATGGTATCAGATATCAGACTGCGAAACTGAATGATTGTGTTATAGTATTGACATCGTACTGTAAGAGAGGCCCGGGTAATTTATCAAATATTTATTTATTAAACATTTTCTTTATGATGATTTTGGTCATTAAGGTTTGAATCAGGTGAAACTGGCTCTTTCAAAACTTGATTCGTTCATATGCTTTTTGTTCATTTAGTTTAATCAGTGTGGAAAAAAGTGTGGACTTTTAATTGTTGCATCAAATATTACAAATCAAATTGGCAACTAACTTTGTTTGGTTGAAATGGTTCTTCTGATTGGAAGAAAAATCACCTTCAAGAAATTTTTCAGCAAATACAATACACATCAAGATATATATTAAATATCGTCAAAAAGGGGGAAAATAGTTGGAGGTTAGTGCATTTTTTTTTTTTTTTTGCTTGGTTTTGCTTTGTTTTGTTTTGTTTGCTTTGTTTTGTTTGCTTTGCTTTGTTTTTTGTTATTTTATTTATTTTTGGAGGGAAAATAATATTTTTATTTAACAAGGATGCGTTAAATTGATCAAAAGTAAAGACATTTATAAAGTTATAAAATATTTATTTTCCTAATAAATGCTTTTCTTTCTATTCATGAAAAAAAAACTAAAAAAGAGGACAAAACAGCACAAATGTTTTTATCATTTATAATAATCATAAATGTTTCTTGAGCAGCAGAGCAGCATATCAGAATGGTTTCTGAAGGATCGTGTGACACTGAAAACTGGAGGAATGATGCTGAAAATACATCTTTGATCACAGCAATAAATTACATTTTATAGTATATTCAGTTTTAATATATACATTTCAAATTGTAATAATATTTCACAATATTACTGATTTTTATCAAATTACTGCAGCCTTAGTAAGATTTCTTTAGAAAATGTAAAAAAAATAATCATATCAACCCCAAACTTTTGAATGGTAATTTATTTTGCTCAACACTATTCCAAGGCATTTCAAAGAAAACCTGGTACTATCATGGTGCATGTTCAGAAGCACAGTAATACTCTAGCACTGTTTTGTACTGTACATTGGTGAACGTGACTGTATGGCGTAACTCTCTTTCTCTGTCTCTCAGACCAAAGAGCGAGGCTCTACTAGAGTTCACTCCCTCAACAACGTCAACCGCGTGCTGCAGGTCCTTCATCAGAGCAGCGTGAGTCTCTCTCTCTCTACCTTCCCATGTGTCCTTGCTGCTGGGTGACTCTCTGGGCTTCAGCTGCGGGAGAAAATTATTTTTATTTCTTGCCTCGTATAAGCTGACAGACGCTGCCTAGGGGAACGTACAGCAAGGGCAGCCTAATTAAAACGCTTTACAGTTCCTGTGTGTCTTTTAGGGTCATTAGCGTGGCGTTTTGACGGCAAGGTCTCTACATTTCGACATGTCTTTATGCTTTGATGGCCTGGAGTCAGACAGACCAAACAGAGCCACAAACACAGATGCTATAAACAATGTGTTTTTCCTGTCACATTTTGCATGTTCACTCATGTTCCAGATCATTGTCTTTTGTGGACTTAGTGCAATTTAATTTAATTAAATTTTTTTGTTGTTTTGAATTTGTTTTATCTTAAATTTGTTTTATTTTATTTTAAATTTATTAAAACATTTATTTTATCATTTCATTTTTTTATTTTTATTTAACTGAACAATATTCATATAAACCCATTATAATGTCACATTTAGCTGTGCATTTATTATAGTGGTGTTTCTGTCTCTGTCAGTGTATCAGCTCTCTCGGCTGTTAGTTAATTGTTTGTCCACACATTTTTACAATAAAAATAATGTGTTAAACAAACAATAAATAGATAATCACAGAAATTGTGTGTTTCGCAGCCCTACAACAAATGTATATAAAGGAAAAGCACCAACAGGCATTGCAAACACTGAACGTTTCAAAAATGACCTAACATTGGATGATTAATTGTCCTGGCGGATATAAGTGTCTATCATTTCCCTGTAATTAGCTGAGTGGTGAATATTCACTCAGCACAGTTTCCTGTGTTTTAATCTCTTGACCGATACAAGCGCTCCTGGTCCAGATGTTTGCTGATCCTCCAGTAATCTTATTTAGTGACGCTGCTGTTGATGGATTACGTTCTTTGAATATTACACTCTGATTATGTTGAGGTTGAGCTGGCTCTCTAAACGCAGTGATAGAGGGATGCTTGAGGTTGACTCTCTAAGCAAACATGACAGCTTAAGTCGAACGCTTGAATTGTAAGTGTAGGTTTGGTTAATCTACACCTGTAGACACACTGTCAGATAGGCATGTTTACACAGAATCACACACATCACGCCAGCGGCCCGTAATCCTCTCTCAATGAGTCAGTGATAGCAGGTTAGAAACAACTGTGTGTTTATATATTCCATATGAAAGCATGCAACGGCATTCAAGACGTGATACAGTATGAAACGTTTACTTTGTAATGTAACATTTTTGAGTTTAGTTGGACATAATGAAGGTCAGACTCGGATCTATTTTTAACTGTGGTTATATTAGTCAAAAAGTAATTCAGAGGTGGGGAGTGTTATTACATACAATTTGAAAGATTAGGAAAATAATTTTTGGTAATACTTTACAGTAAAGTCCCATCATAGCAATGAGCAATTCAGTATCTTTGTTACTGAACAAAGAAACTAAATTGTGTCTTTGTTAATGTTGGGCAATACAAATACAATGGTTTATTGTTAGTTCACGTTACCTCAGGTCCATTTAATAATATTAACATGTAAATTTTAATTTTAATAATGCAATGTTATTAAATGTTAACTGATATTAATAAATAATGATTTTTATTGTTAGTTGATGTTAATTAGTGTACTTAAAAGTAATGTTAAGAAATGGAACCTTCCTGTAAAGTGTATTTTAGTGTAAGAGAATTTGTAATTATTCTTGTTTTATTTGTATTTTTATTTTTTTTTTCATTTTCACAGTAAACCAGAAACATTTATTAATGAATCCTTTTTTTTTAAAGAACTGCTTTAGATTATTTGAGCTTAAATACATTTGTTCTTTATTTGTGATTTTTAAAAAAGATATTTTAAAATATAAATTTTTTTATATTTGTCTTGTTTCTTTTACATTTTTTTTCATTTTTTTTGTATATTTTAATTTTATTTATTTTTCAGGTGGATCTGGTGAATATCGGCGGGACTGATATTGTCGATGGTAATCATAAGCTCACTCTAGGACTCATCTGGAGCATCATACTGCACTGGCAGGTCAGAAAACACACACACACAGCTCTTAAATCTGGATTCTTTGTGTGCAAACATATTTCTGGAACATTTTTTTCAAAGACACAAGATGTATATGGGTTTTGCTACTTTTGAGGTTCTGATGTCAAAAGCAAATATGACAAAAACTAATTTTGTGAAGACATCTGATGTGCTTTCACTATCAAAATCATGTTTCTAAAAACTTTCTTGGCCAATTTCCGATTTTTTGTAAGTGTGACTTGCCGATACCGATTTTTGCCGATTCCGATTTTCTTTCTAAAAACTATAATTACAGCATATACAAACAAAAATACCTTTTTAATGCAATTTTTTTTTTAAATTCCACATTACAATTCCCCCAATCTGGACAAAGTTACAGATGTTCTCTCACTTAAACAACTCTCAAAATAAAGTGCTCTGTGACAAGAAAAGAGGTAGAAATAACAATTAACTGAAAAGGAGTTGCTGTATGTAACAAAACAGATGTCATTTCCCACTAAATTCTTAAATGGTCATTATTTTCATTGATCTTATTAAATGTGTCATCTTTCACATTTCAAATTCTTACATTGTTTCAATGAAATCCATTCAAATTAAATTAGTCTGAACAGACTCCGTCTTTCCACTGCAGCAAACACAGAAGCTGCATATGAAGTGGCATTAGATGTATTTACACAGACTGTTTGATGAAGTTGAGGTGCCATAAAAGCATTTACACAACAAAATTTTGGATGCATAAAGAATTTTATAGATTCATGTTTTAAATATTTTTTGAAATGTTGGGGAAAATGCAATGATAGTTTTAAATATGAAACAAAAACCAGTAGGTGGCAGTAAATGATTGTTTGAATGAGTGAGTCATTTAGTCCTTCATTCAACAGATTCGTTCAAACAGCTGATTCATTCAGAAACGAGGCAAGTGACTGTCTTTATGAATGGGTTACTGAATCATTGACTCACTCGATTCGTTCAAAAACGTGAATTTATTCAGTAACAAACACTGCTGTGTTGCTCGGAGACACACAACGGTTCTGCTGTGGTTTTGAATGGAACTATTTTTATCAGCGAAATTGAACAAAAACACTCAATATTGTGTCAAGTCACTTAATTTGAACTTCTTGTTTATTGAACTACTATTGTATAAAATCACATTGCAGTCATGTGGAAACATTTTGGTCGTGCGTACCTAAATCATATTATAAATGTATTTTATTTTTCTACCACAGTATGCATCTTTAACTTTGTGTGTGCTGTTGCGCTCATTTGTTTTGAGTTTCTCATTCACTCAGGCTGTGCAAGCCTCATCTAGCATGACATAAATACATTATCAGTCACCATAAGTGTGATGTCAAAACGATCATGCGGAAAACCGGCTAATTCCGGTCCCTGGCCGGTCTTATCGGTGCATCTCTAGTCCTTAATAATATAGTCTAACAATCCTCTCCGTGTGTGTGTGTGTGTGTGTGCAGGTCAAGGACGTCATGAAGGATGTGATGTCCAGTCTTCAGCAGACCAACAGCGAGAAGATTTTGCTGAGCTGGGTGAGAAACTGCACCCGCAACTATAACAACGTCAACGTGCTCAACTTCACCACCAGCTGGGCAGACGGCCTGGCCTTCAACGCCATCCTACACCACTTCAGGTGACACACACATGCACGCACGCATACACACGCACACACGTGCATGCACACGCACGCATACACACGCACGCACAGACACGCACGCACAGACACGCACGCATACACACGCACACACGTGCATGCACACGCACGCATACACACGCACGCACAGACACGCACGCATACACACGCACACACGTGCACGCACAGACATGCACACGCACGCATACACACGCACGCACACACGCATACACACGCACGCATACACACGCACACACGTGCATGCACACGCACGCATACACACGCACGCACAGACACGCACGCATACACACGCACACACGTGCACACACAGACACGCACACGCACACATACACACGCACGCACACACGCATACACATGTGCACGCATACACACGCACGCATACACACGCACACACGTACACGCACGCACACACATTTTTTTACTTAAATGTAACATCGGATGAAAAGGTAGATAAAAACACAAAGCTGATTTGTAATTTATTATTAGACAAATTCTCAGAGGATTTTATGCATGTTTGCACCTTAATCACTAAATTCTTTATGAACTTATGTAAGCAATGTAAAATGTTTGTGGATGAAGGGACTGAGAACAAGTCGGTAGGTCCAGATGTAATCCAGACTTTTTCCACATTTTCTGTTCTGGTTTTGTGGGGAAACCTGCATAATAGGTTTAAACAAAGTGTGTTAAACCGAGCTTAGTACTACTCCTTTATTGGCACCCGAAGAGTTATCAGATCTGCAAATATTTAATAAGCAAACACGCAAGGGTGTGTAGCTATGAATGACAGAAGTAGATGTACTTCTGAAGTACATGCAGAAGTAGATGTAGATTCACGTGGACCTGCTTGAATATCATCCAGATCTGTGGGCTTCATCCACACCGCAGCAGAAATGTGGTTTTCGGTCCACATAGGTTCAGTTTCGAAACAGTCAAAACTGCATTCTGTAATCAAAGTGACTACCTGAACTGAATCTCGTCATTGAAAGCTGTTGCTCATGTCAACTCTCATTGATGGTGAATGTGTGAACGGCCGGTTAGACTCTTGATGTGAATTGTGTTTCAGGCCTCATGGGTTCAGCTGGGAGGAAGCAATTCGTCTAACCCCAGTGGAGAGGCTGGACCATGCTTTCACATTCGCCAAAGATCAACTCAACATTGAGAGACTCCTGGATCCAGAAGGTAAAGAAGCATCGTGACACTAGAACTGCTCCAATTCAAAATAGGAGCAGAAAGCGATAAACATTTTCCATTGTTTGGCGAAGTCCAGTCATTAGAGATTACTTTTTTGAGATGTGCGTCATACATTGCTACACTATTTACAGTGGACAATAGGACTGCACGATTTAGGGGCAAAAACGAATTGTGTGTGTGTGTGTGTGTGTTTTTTTAATTATTGCAAAGGGTTTTATTGTATTATTGTAGAGGATTATAAAAAAAAAAATATATATATATATATATAAATAAAAATGACTATTGTAATAATTCCATGTAAAATTATTTTAAAAAATCAAGCATTTGGGAACAACAATATAATGCATCACATTACAGCTGTAAAATTGCAGTACTAATATTTCTGTCTTAACTTTCAAACATTAAGCCATTGGTGACTAATACAATTGAGAGCCCTTAAAGCTTGCCTTTTCTTTGATGAGCGTTTCTCATTAAAAGTTTGAGAAGATGGTTGCACGTTGCATTTCCAAATGCATGTTATAATGGCAGATAATGAGCTGCTCATATGTAAATGAACACAGAGCCGCACTTCACTATAAAACATTCAGCACATGTACTTATTTTATTAAACTGCAGCCTTTGCAATTTGATAATCGCACTAAGCCATTTTGCGAATTTGATTTTTTATTTGTATTATTTGTACAGCCCTAATTAACTTTTCATTCGCGTTCTTGACCATTATCTGACGTGATGTTGGCCTTGTTTGGAGATCTTGTCAGTTTGTTGTTTACGCCTGAAGCAGGGAATCAAACTAATAAAACAATGCCAGTCAACAAACCGGTGTCCAGCACATTCCAGAGCCCAGATCCTGAGACTAATCATCTGGACTTGATTGGATTACATGTCTTTTCCTGAACACAAGTTCACATGAGCCATAACTAATCAGAGGGGCCTCATAGAGCAACTCCATAAACCCACACACCCATATTCATATTCATTCTTTCTCTCTGTGTTTCTCAGATGTGGCGGTGCAGTTGCCGGATAAGAAGTCCATCATCATGTATGTGACCTCACTCTTTGCTGTGTTTCCCAATGACATCACGATAGATGACATCAGAGAGGTGGAGACGCTGCCCAGACACTATAAGGTGGAGCACGAGGATGGACACGCTGTAAGTGCACTGGTTACCCAAAAAACATGTGCTTTAGTGAGCTAACTGTCTCAGATTGATGTTCCATCATGTGCAGAAACGATCATAATCCAAAACTGGTTCGATTGCAGTGGTCTTGAGGACATTTTCAGTAGCCCCTCACTGCAGAACACAAGACTCAGGGGGCGTGGTTGTATCCACATCTAGGGGGTGGAGAATGGTAGGTTTAGGGATGGAGATGGGTAGGTTTAGGGGTGGAGAATGGGTAGGTTTAGGGGTGGAGAATGGTAGGTTTAGGGCTGGAGAATGGTAGGCTTAGGGGTGGTGATGGGTAGGTTTAGGGGTGGAGAATGGTAGGTTTAGGGCTGGAGAATGGTAGGCTTAGGGGTGGTGATGGGTAGGTTTAGGGGTGGAGATGGGTAGGTTTAGGGATGGAGATGGGTAGGTTTAGGGGTGGAAAATGGGTAGGTTTAGGGGTGGAGAATGGGTAGGTTTAGGGGTGGAGAATGGTTGGTTTAGGGATCAACGGGTGGAGACGGGTGGGTTTTGGTATTTGGAAGGTGGGAGGAGTTGGGTCTGGATCCAACCACGCCCCCTGGATCTTGTGTTCTGCAGTGAGGACCATCTCGACATTTTGTCCCTTCTGAAGATGGTTATAAGCTTCTCTTGCTGTGTGAAGCCAGTTTTCAGGGCTGTTTAATGTAAAGGCTCATTCACTACAAGAACGATAACTGTGGCTATGTTCACACTGCAGGCAATTGTGGCCCAAATTCGCAAAAATTTTGCTCACATGTGACTCAGATCTGTTTTTGTCATGACGGTGTGAACCGCACAAACCACATGGAATCTGATCTTTTCAATTTCCATTTGTGCCACTTCCATATGTGGTGCTAAATCCGATACAGGTCAGATGTTTTGAAATACGACCGCAGTGTGAACAGTCATGTCGGAATTCATGTGACTTTTGCGTCGCTCTAGATCGACATTCGTCATAATTCCGCGCTGACGGGAGACACTTCAAAGATTTTACATCCCCAAAGTTATCAAGACAGTTGCGAATGGTAGTCGGTGGAAGTACAGTGATGTGCCAGTACTCATAAGTATTATAGTGACAACTCCATATACAAGCAAAACATTAGCTCGTATCATAAAAGTTTCAGAACTCTGTCACATCCTTCTCATTATTTTTCATATTGTCTGTGCATAATTTCGCTGGCTTCTGCAGCATATCACACTATAAATAAACGCATAATTGCTTACCTAATGTCCTCCATGTTTACTTCCGTATGACAGCGCTAATTTTGGACTAGTTTTGAGAGGCAATTGGGCAGATTTTTTTGTGAAAACCGGGAAACCCTATTTGTATCGTTCTTTTGCGCATGCTGGTCAGTTCAGAACCATAATCTGTTCACACTGGAAATATGATATTGGCCACATTTAAAACGGAATTGAGCACTAAGGCTCGCAGTGTGAACGTAGCCTAAATTAGCATCCACATCAAAGCTCGATAAGGTTATGTTTGTTGTAAGTGCACTGCGGTTTTGTTGTCTGTCGCTTTAAATGCTGAAGCTCTTTAAAGTCGAGTGGATTCTGATTGGCTGTTAATGTTTACATTGTTCATCAGGTGGAAAGAAATTGTTCTGAAAGTGATCCCAATGATATTATTCCACTGTGTCATTATCGTTTTAGTTGTGGTGTGAACTGCACTATTCTCGCTGAATTAGAATGATTATTAAAGCTTACAGTGTTTGTTATCGTACTTGGTGTGAATGCCGGCCCTTAATACCATTTTCAGGATGTAATTTTCACTTACAGAATAATTAGTCTCATTTATGTGTATGATTAGCTGAAGAAGTTCTGTTGTTCCATGAGTAAATGCCTGTTTACATCAAGATGAATATTCGGCGTGAACGTTTGGTTTGGTCTCGGTTCAGACCAACATGAACATTTGCATGACATCAGTGTCGGATTTTTTTACAGAAAGGTTTTCTAATCTCTTTTACACTGCACTGCAAATAAAACTGGCTAGCCAATAAGATTTGTGCTTTTGGTCACATGCCCAGAGCCACTACTGTAATGCAAAACTACGTCTTGGTGGTGCTCACGAACGCTAAATGCATTACCGCGGGAAGTAGGGGTGCTGCAGCACCCCCTGGAGTGTAGCCCATGAAAAAATGGGGGTGCAGTGTTAAAAATAAATGAATGAACGATTTGTTACAAAAAATAAATAAAATGTATTTTTATTAATTTGTATATTCATTAAAATTCTTTGAAAATAGTAGCCTAAGCCTATAATGACAAGAAGCAATGGTTAAACATGAGTTAAGTTGAATCAAATTGACTGTGAAAGTCGTTTCGGCTTTTTTTTTATTAATTTTTTTATTTCATTTTAAATAAATTAATTTAATATTTATTCAGCAAGGATGCATTAAAATGATCAAAAGTGACCAAATACATTGTAACTATAATTTTAATAAGTGCATTATTTAGCAGTTTTTTTTGTTTCGACTTATTAAACTGACTTAAAAAATAATTTGTTGCCCTGAATTTTTTTTATTGTATTATAACCTGTAACGTCTGTGCCATACCCAAATTAAGAATTAATGATTAAAATTATAGTTACAATGTATTTGATGAATGTAAAGTTCAAAAGAAAAACATTTATTTGAAGTCAAAATATTTTATAAAATTGTCAGTGTATTTAAGGTCACTTTTGATCGTTTTAATGCATCCTTGCTGAATAAATACATTAATTTAATTAAAATAAAAACAAAACCAAAAAAAAAGCCGAAACTACTTTCACAGTCAATTTGATTCAACTTAACTCGTGTTTAACCATTGCTTCTATGATTTCTACAGACATAGCAAAGAGACAGCAGAGAAATAGCGAGAGCGTGTAGCGCTTATTTTGATCTTTAACGTTAGATCTTTCCTATATTTTTTAAACAAAATTAATATTTAAAGGTGCAGTAGGAGATCTTGGAAAATGCTAACTTTAGCCTGATAGCACTGAAAGCGAACGTTCCACCCTCCCTGCAATCGCCGTCCAAAGCCATGCCCCCTGAACACATATACGCTCACAGACCAGAGACAACATTACAATAAGCTACATCAGCGGTTCCCAATTCTAGCCCATATTCCGAAGTGAAGTAAACTTCAACGGATTTCCCCCGCTCAGGGACTGGGATCATATTGATCGGAAGACAGTTCATGCACAGAGCTCACTTCTAATGAGCTGGTTATGTAAATCGGATATGTTAACTAAGCGAGACATGCAAAATATGCAGAGCGGGGGGTGCGAGGACTGGAATTGGGAACCGCTGGGATACATCATGTGTCATTCACCGGTGAGAAAACTTTAAAAGTACTGCAATACCAGGAAGGAAGATCGGGTTGTTGATGTTTGTCTGCCATTCTCGCGCTGTCTGCACAGCGTGCGTGAACGCGCTGATGACGTACCCTGTCTGTGCGAACAGGGTGCGCAGAGGTATGCGAATACATTCGTTGACAGGCAGGTAGGAAAGCCAATTAAAATGCTCGGACCGAACGTTTTGATTGGACGAACATTTCTTTGTCCTTCACCTTCCACAAAATATATAAATACAGATAAATACATTTAGACCACTTAACTTAATGATTGCAATCGTGATGTGAAGAGACTTTCAACCAGCATGCATAACAAAAAATGTTTCTGAAGACAATCACCTATTGCACCTTTAAGGTTGATTCAATATTACTCTTAATGCTAAAAACACACACAACATCAGCAATGCTACAATGACAAAGTCGCTTATTAAACATAAAACTTTTATGAACAGAACAAATAAGGCTGATGTACCCGCTTTGTAACACAAATAAATAAAAGGTTTTTGGATTTTCCCCTTACTTAAACGAATGCTATGGCTTATTGTTATTAATGGGAAAAAGGCAATACAATAACATAGTACAATGACAAATTCACCTATATCAAATTTTGAACTTTTATTAACAGAATGAATAAGGATATGTTTTACCCGCATTTATCACAAATAAATAAGGATTTCCTCTTAGGCTAAAACGATCGTAGTTTGTGGTTTATTATCTTATGAATCAAAACACATCAGCCATAAAATAGAACAATGGCAAATTCGCATAAATTAAACAGCTAGCTTATAGTAACAAATTGAATACGATGATTGTAGCCTTGTGTTGTAACCCAAATAGCCTGAATAAGGTCTTTTCCCTTATTTAAAACGAATACTTAGTTTGTGGTTCATTATTTTTTTTTTTATGAAAACCCAGCAACAATAAAGACGCTCACTTATTTAAACAAAGAAATTTTCGTTTTAACAAAAGTTGCGCTTTTGGATCCGCAGTCTTCTCGCATCACTCTGGTCACGTGACCCCAACCTCCTCCACCGCACCCCATTTTATTTCTCAGCCCCCCCTCAAAATACGTTCTCGCGGCTATGTCTAAATGCACAAGAAATTTGAATCACAATTGATTTCAATAGAGCGTGGTATTAGCATGTTGCTAAGCTAACACTGATTCTCAAATAAGCATAAAAATACATGGTGCACACAAGTATTGTTTGAAATACTGCATTTGTAATGAGACTGAACTAGTTTTTAATCTATAATTGTTGAAGTTTAATCAGTTCTATTCATAATTGACATTTCGCTCACTTTGTCCGCCATCTTGAATTACATTTTTCACCAAGCCTTCTCTGTGAAGAATACATGCTAATCCTGCTTTATAATTTGAAAATGAAAACATGAAAGAATATACTATGCCTTAAAATGCAGCCTACATAGGCAGTTTAAATTTTGGAACAGAGTAATAATGTTAGTAGTGTTCATTTAATCTATTTATAACCAAATCAAATAAAAAAAGTGCTGCGTCTGTCAACTGAAAGCTGATGTTACTAGACATGATGATTGTAGACATTAGCATAAATCCTCTTATTACTGAAACAACCACAAACACCTTCATGCATCTGTCTAATGACTCGGTGTTTATAAACTCCAGCTAATATTGATGG